ATTTAAGCCATCGGATCAAGCGTTCGTAGCAGATCATGAATCCGCTCGCCGTAGAAAATATAGCCACTGGAAACCATAAAGCTTGGAATTTATACGCTGCCATACATCTGACTACCATACAAATATGTGTCCCTACTCAGTCATTCGCAACTTTTTCTTTGGCTGCAACAGGAGAATTTCATGGGAAGAAACTCAGAAATTCCTCCATACCCAAATCTTCGTTACTCTACAGATAGTTTCTTGATATCAATTTCTGATTGACTACATTTATTTCCGGGACACCATAGACACAACAAAATCTAACTGATGCTTACTATAGATCAACTTTCAAATGCAGTCTGTAACTACAAAACAAAATATTATTAAGGGAAAAAGTCTTTTATGGTAGTCAAATATATATTGCCAATTAAAACACATCAGTCTTCGTGTGACGATGAAGTACGTTAAAGTTGTTAGATATTCGAAGTATTTCGAAAATGTTCACTTTGATGACATTTACGAAATCTATTGGTGCTGATTATGCATTTTCTGTTTTAGGAGTCATTAATATAGTTTCTGACTGCCATAGAATTGATTAGATCAAGCAAGTAAGCTGTTACTGTGAGAGAAATGCTCCATACTCACTTGCCGTTACTAGCCAAGAAAGTTTCGGAATAACTGCTTGACAACTAGTTTTTTGAAGATAAAAGTTGTGTATAACATATGAATTGAACGCAAATTTGTGAGAAATTAAGCAATAAGTCTATGTAAATTTAATGCAGATCTGGCAGTTAAGTCCTCATGTTGGGTAAATTTCAGGTGATTTATCGTGCTTTACCAGAAATCTACAAAAATGGGCAGTTGTGTTTTTCGTCTTTAGAAGCGCCTTACAACCCCAACGGATTCCATTCAAAATACATTCGACGATTATGAATGATTAGGATAGTTATGGACAGAAAACAAGAAAAATTTTGTCTAAATAACTTACCTGTCTAGTAGTAATGGATCACCAAAGCCTTCATATAGGGCCCTAGTAATATTAAACAAGGTAATTAGCACAAATTAAAAGGAGAAGAGGCCTCTGTACCGAATGCCAAGGGAACCTACTAGGACACTCCGAAACCTAAGGAAAAGTTTGAAAACAGCCAATCGACAGTCTGATAGTATATCAACAGTCAATTATAAGTGTTCAACTTTATCAGATATTTCACCCAATAACTTTCAAATTAACAGAATTTACACCTACCTAAAATCAATTGAACTAGCACAAATTAGTCGCCAGATTGACTGCACTGAGTGTTAGGGGGAACAGAGTACTGTTTCTTATCAGAAAATATAGGAGTTAGGAAATTAAGTTTTCAACATAAACTCACCATTAAATATTTAAAAACAAACGGTGGCATTTTCCATGATTGACTTAATTTCATTGTTTTGATCGCGTATATGCACTGGAACTACTCTTTTTCCTTTACTGGAATTTATTTTGGTTAAAGTAATTGCGAAGACTATATCTTTTTCCTAAGGTAATTTATCATCTGTACTTTTGAGTATATCAGTTCGTTTCGTTTTTGTTTGCACTTTTGGATATAACAAATTTCAACCTTTACTTTTTTCTTATCACCAGCTTCTTTTGTCTCTGGGTATCGTTTGTGTCCAGTTACTTCTTGAAAATGTCTGAATGATGACTACACAATGCCAAATAAAGCACTTGCCCGCGCCTAGGCTATCTATACCCTGTGGAAAATGGCATGCAGTGTGATGAGTGCAAAGGATGATATCACGAAAATTGCACGAATTGAACACATGAGGCTTTCGAACGGTTTCGCAAAAAGAGTTACGGGGAGTTGTGTCAGTGATGCTCATCGGACACAAACAGATTGGTATCTGAAGCCACTGCAATGGTGAATTCTACTGGATGGGATATTAACAAGCATGATCGAGACACATCAAACAGTACACGCTCGGCCAATACACAAGTTGACGCAAAGTTATCTAAAATAAGCTCAGAATCGATTGATTTACATGGGCCAACGAAGAAAAGGTGGCCTATAAAAAGGTATTTTTGAAATAAAGACTCAAGAAAGGAAGTTTCTCACTTCCTCCACCCCAAAAACGGCAGTGAGCAGAGAACGTCTAGAAAACCTAATCGCAGAGCTGGGTCTGTTTCTAGCAGGACAAAATAAAAACCTGGCTAACTAAGTCAACGACGACCATCCAAGACCGCACAATGTGTGCAACGAGACTGCGGTTGCTACTTCAATGAAATTTGGTGAACAAATACAGATCACGAATAAGAAACGACACATTGTTGCTAAAGAAAAGCCATTTTCACAAACAGCAGCCCAGGGATTGATAACGGTGACAGGTTATTTGTCGTTCACAGAGTTAATGCGGAGGTGAGTTCGGAACACAGAACTCGTTCTCTGAACAATATTGGATCGATAAAAGAGCTACTAAAGTGGTTGCTGATTGATTTAGTCTACAACAGTCGAAACTGTGAGGTGAATGACGTATTGTCAAACGGTTTCAACGCTCGGTCTTTAAGTGGTCGATATTTAATATTAGGTGAGTTTAATGTACCTACGGAAGGCTGGAAAAATCTAAAAACTGAGTCGTCAAGAAATCCCTTGAACAAAAGAGAATTGATGCTATCATTTCATGTGCACGGGTGCGACATGTGAAAGATGAGACTAGGTACGACATGGACTCTGAATCATCTTTGCTGGATATCATATTGGCTCATTACGAGAGTGTCGCCAGACAGTTTGATTATCTGCGTTTCAAGTCTTTGATTTCCATATCGCTGTCGACGACGATGTACCAGCCATAGCCAGACCAAACGACTGGAAAGCAAATATACAGGATATTACACACTCAGCAGATAAGACAATGAAGCGGCTTACGAGGCTTTCAGAAATGTGTACATAAAGGTTAATGGACCGCAAGTTCCTTGGACTGCATCAAAGAATATACTAAAAATTCCCACCGTAGTCCAGTGAGATTGACCACACCCTTCTTTGTAAAAGGAAAGAAATATGGGGGAAGTTTAGGTTGCTTTGTTCTCATGGGACAGGATTTGAACACTTGGAATCTCAAAATGTTGTATGTCGACCCTCAGCATGTCTAGAAGTTTTTACGACGAAAAAAATTGTTAAGGAATCTATAGAATAACGTAAATTCTTATACTCGTTCATAAATCAAAGGACTAAGAGAAGAGGCCATATTCCAGGATTACGAGGAGACAGTAGTCCTGAGGCATCAGTGGATGACAGTAATGGTTAAGCTCAGGTATTCTCAAGTGACTTCAGCAATGCATATACTATAGAAACACCCTTCTCTTTAGTTCATACGAATCCACTCCACATACACACTGCTCACTGCGATCATTAAAGAAATAGTTGTCTTTGGTCTGCTAAATGGGCTTGGTAAAGGCAAATCCGTGTGACCCGCTGACATGCATCACACGTTACGAAAGGAATCAGTAAATTTTGTCACGAATCCCCTAAGCATATGTTTGAATCTATCTGTAACCCAAGGCAGATTACCAAAATACTGGAAGAATGCCTTAGTAAGTCCTATGTTCAAGACAGGTATGATACATAGACATGGGAACTATCGACATTGAAGCTTAATGAGGGTGGTTGCTAAAATTTTGGAAAAGATTCTTCGGAAGGGGTTGTTTGATTATCTAGACTAAAAGCTTAATCTTCATGAAAAATAGTATGGCTTTAGAACAGGTTATTCACGTCTCACAAAATTATTGATGGATCATGAAAGTTGGTGCGCTCATAAAGATCAAAAGTTACCTGTAGATGTAGCTTACATTGACTTCAGCAAGGCTTTCGACAAAGTTCCTCACAACCGGCCGTTATATAAGTTGAGTAATATCGGGGTTGGAGGCAGTTTATTATTGTGGATCAAGGACTTCCTAGTTGAGCGTCAACAAAGAGTACGGGGAAACTTGAGGTTGTCTCTTTGGGAAACTGCTAATCACAGTGCAACAGGGTATAGTTTTAAGGCCGGTGTCGTTCGTCCTGTATGTAGATGACCTTCCTAATCTCCTATCACCATAGGTTTTGTTATATGCTGATGATGTTGTGATATGGAGAGCTACCAAAAATAAAGGAGATAGTCTAGAGCTTCAGAATGACTTGGTTAAGTTGTCTAGGTGGTCTAAAATTTTGCAGTTACAGACAAGTGCTTCCAAGTGCATTATGGTGCATGTTGGTCACCATGGTACATATACATACACAGTGGATAATAGTGAGCCACCTGTTGTCCAGACACGCAATAAATTAGAAGTCATCGTTAGCCAAGACTTAGAAATTACTGCACACTGCCGCCGAAGATTATAGATCCATACGTTCATTACGTGTGGTCTTTGGCCATGTCGATGGTAAAATTATTTTGACTTTGTATACAGTATTCGCCAGTCCTAGAAAAGGAGAACTGAATACAAACGGTCAGTCCTTACCTAAAAAGAAGCAGTGAGTTGTTGGAAAAAATTCGAAGAACCTTAAATAAGTTGATTCTCGGAATCATAAAGCCCTCTAATGATGCTGGACCGGATTGAGTAAATCCATTTCTGTTGTCATGTAGAAGAATCATGGGCAACTTAATCAGATTTTAAAGTAATTGGTGATGAATTTGCATCAGATATCCCTCACTTTCCTTGTCCTCCAAACCAGAGAATTTACGAGAACACCCTATAAATGTTCTCAAGTCGACTCATCAAGGAATGGAATTCACTACATCAACACTTTACTGAAGCTCCGTCTGACGCCGCTTTCAGAAGAAAGTTGGATCACCACAATTTTGAGGACTAACACAGGCCACTTAGTCTTCTGTTCTTTATAAACTGAAACGGAAGTTTCTGGGAAGGTTTACAAAACATCCACAGTAATTTTAATAATTTTACCCAAATTTAAGAGTTTGAGGTACTTTACATGTGATCATTCATTCTAATAACTGTGTGTGCAATGCAAAATATTGTTGTAATAAATTGGCTAATCGCGCTTGTTACTCCGTCAAGGCCACTTGGCACGGCTAATGAATATAAGTTTGCCCACTTTTTGACGTGAGCTTATCAGCCTACTACTGGTCTGTTCCGTATAAACATGTTTATTGTCATACTACCTAATATGCCTGTGACCTGTGATAATTAAAAGACTTTATAGCTCAATAATATAAATGGCAAAATAACAGTTTATCAACGTAACTGAAAAAAGTGGAGTATTGAAGCTTCAGTGTAGCACTTAAGTATTGTATTCCTTGTCCACAATTTCAGTCTGTCGAATCTTTAAATGCTTCTGGTCGTCCTAAAGGCTTATCGGAATTTCTCAAAATCCATGGACCAAGTCAAGATGTATTTTAGATGGACCACTGTCACTCCCTTACTCCTTAGTCATAGTTTAGTTTCCGTGTAACTTACAGTAACAGTCTCATGATGTCGGTATCATGTGTTTGATAACTACTCGGTCCCTTGTACTGTGGTTCGTATGGCTGGTTAAATTACTTTTTATCCACACAATTTAGTAGTCAAGTACAAGTCTGTTTCTTTGACTTTGGGCTACCTATTTTGTGTAAGGTAACCACCCTTTTAGGCTGCTAGTACTAATGCAAACGATTTGTGGTTCGAACGCCAGACGTAAAGCTAGCAGTCGTGTGGTTTAGTTACTAGGCCACCGCTCAGTCTTCCGTAATAAGGATAGTAGGCTGGTGAACCTGTATTAATCCTGACACATTGCTTTCCAGTGAAGGTTCAGCTTCTCCTTGAAAGTATTCACTGATGGGGCTGATACCAATTGTTCGGGTAAGGCGTTTCAATGATTGACTGCTCGATGAGAAAAACGAGACCCCACTTCAAGTTTATTAGGTCGTGGTTTATGAGCCTTCTTGCTATGACCTCTGAGATTATTAGTGCTGGAGGGAGCAAAAATATAAGACTTATTAACACCCAAATCATAATTAAAGATACGAAATGCCAGTATAAGGTCACCTCGTGTCCTACGATACGACAAGGGGAAAAGATTTAGGCATTTTAAGCACTCATCGTAAGGGAGTCTAGAAAGACCCTTCACTAATTTCGTTCCTACACGCTGGACACGCTCAAGGGAGTTAGTATCCTTTGTCAGACATGGGCTAGCTGCTTGGATACAGTACTCTAAATGTGGTCTAACATATATGGGATATAAAATTCGAAACGTTTCCTCGTCAAAAGATTTGAACGCTTGGCGGAGTGACCATAACGCACGAAAACCTTTGACAGCGGCTGCTTTGCAATATGTAGTTGTTTTTAAATCATGACTTGATACTACTCCTAAGTCTTTATGCTTTTGAACGCATGGAAGAGGTTTACCCTCAATAGTGTAACAGTAACTATTACCGTGAACGATGTGCATTAGTACACTCTTCCTAGCATTGATTTCTAAGCCCCACTCTCGAGCCCATCTAACTAAATCGTCTGAGTCAGCTTGAAGATTCAGATGATCAGCCGCACTTTTTATTCTCCAGATTTTTACATCATCCGCAAACAATAATGTCGACGACCTAAGTAACAGCGGTAACTCATTAACGTAGAGAAGGAAGAACAGAGGGCCTTAGATGGTGCCTTGGGGTACACCACTTTTGACCGGCTTCCAATCGGATAGTGTTCCGTTGACCCTCACTCTTTGTCTGCGGTCACATAAGAAATTTCCTATCCACTCATGTACAGTACCTATTATTCCGAAGCTCGTGAGCTTCTGCATAAGGCCTACGTGTGAAACCTTGTCAGATGCTTTGCTAAAATCTATGAATATCACATCGACAGACAGACCGTTATCTAGGGCTGCTGTCCAATCCTCCATCGCAATAAGCAGGTTAGTCAAGCATGAACGCTTGTTACGAAATCCGTGTTGCTCAGGAGCTAACAGATTGTGTAAATCTATGTGGCTTAGCAACCTAACCCGAATCATCTTTTCAAGTAACTTAACGACTATGCTAGTTAGACTGACAGGCCGGTAGTTAGATACTATCTGTCGCTGACTGTCCTTAAATATAGGACTGACTATAGCGTCCTTCCAATCTCTGGGAGGTTGAGCGAGTGAAAGGGACATGTTGAAGAGTGTCGCGAGCGGTTTTGAAATAATGTCCGCAAGAGATGACAGCAACCGTGGATGTAACCCGTCAGGGCCCGGTATCTTGCCAGGTTTGAGGTTAGTTATCAACGGAAGGACAGTTTCCTCAGTCACCTGTACAGATTCAATGGTTGGTATCTCGGTGTGAGTGGGACAAGTATTTGTTACAATAAACGTAGAGAAGACTTCGCTAAAATAGTCTTAAAAAGTCTCAGCTTTTGCTCGATCTGATTCAGTTAGTAATTCTCAATTTTCGTGTAACAGTAACGGGGGAATACCATCACCACGTTTCATTCGCCGTTTAACATACGAAAACAATCGTTTCGGACAAGTACGGCTGTCATATACTAACTGTCGTTCGTAAGTGGTACGGGATTTGGCTATGGTTTTCTTACAGATATTACGGAATTTTTGGTACTCATGCTTAAATGGTGCATGACCTGTCAACAATAATAAGTCCCAGAAATGTTTCCTACGCTTTAACAGCTTCCGGGTTTCCTTATTAATCCATGGAGGGCAATGTGATAGCTTACGTGCTGACCATGGGATAAACGGCGACATTACAGACTCGAATGTAGCCTTAAACTTATTCCATTCATCTTCGATCAATCCATCCGCGTCGACCGACCAATCAATCAAGATAGCACAGTTTCTGATTTCCGGAATATTGACTCGCCAGATATTGGGACGGGGTGGAGCAGATACGAATTGTATACCATGTGTCCTAAACTTAAAGTGGATTACAACGTGATCACTGTTCACTAGTGGGGGAAGGTGCTGAATATCAAAGACATCCTCACAGTGGTGGGTGAGGGCGAGGTCCAGCAGTGACGGATCATGATTGAAATCAATGTGTGTCGGTTTTGTGATACATTGTACAAGTGCACACTGAAGAACGGTAGATAAAAGGTCGCTATCGAAACCACTACCCGGAGCTGTAAGCTCTATCCAGTTGATATGCGGTGCGTTGAAGTCCCCAATGATGAGACAACATTCTGCTATACTCCAAGAACAGATGTGTCTTAGAATAAAGTCGTCAGCAAGACAAAACGGACTACGGTATATTCCCCCTATAGTCACTAACCCATTTCTAGATTTAATCTTACAACATGCAACCTCACATGTGCCACTGATATGAGCCTCCGATATGGTTGATTGTATACGAAAGTGATCCCTAACGTATAATATTATATCCCCCCCTTTGTGACTTGAAACTCTATCACTTCTAATACAGATATAGCCTGCGATGAAAGAAGAACAGTCTATATCTACTGTGAACCAAGTTTCTGTAACAACAATTATACCGGGACATAATTCTTCCACCATCAGACTTAGCTCGGACGTTTTATTTCTAAGACTACGAGCGTTCGTGTAGCACACACTTAAGGTGTTTTGGCAATCAATCGTTCTACCCATACAGGCCTCGGAAGCATTGGCTTCCAAGACCTGATTACCCGAAAACCCTTAATGGTCAGGTTATTTTCGCCATTTAATTTGCGAGTCCTCAACTCCGTAAGCGCATTCTTCCACTTGATTCGATCCTCAAGCGGCCAATCTGGTCGAATACGGATATTTGAGTCACGAGTTTTTAGTGCGCTTTTCAATAATATGTCTCTTTCTTCAAAACTCCCGAGAACCAGCTTCAGGATTCTTCTTGGTTGGGTCTCGCCTCCAACCCATTTACCAAGTCGTATTACTTTTGTAATATGTACCCCTGAAACCTCTTCAGGTAGTACATTCCTTACCACAGACTCCACTGACTGCAGGTCATGTGCATGTCTTCTAGCAGGGTCTTTGTCTTTCGACTCCTCTAGATTCCAGGTAATTAAACTAGGGAGGGGTTTAGCTTCTTTTGAAACTGTGTTCACAGCTTTCGATAGTGACGTTCGATCCTGTATTTTAACTACTGGTATCTTACGATTAGTTTTTATTTTAACAGAGTCCTGGGAGTCAAGCGAATGACTCACAACAATGTCAGACGAAGCTTTACTATGGGACTTTAGCGGATTGGTCTGAGAGTCCACCAAGGACTAACCAAGTAAACAGTCATTAGTTTTAGCTATCTTTCCTACTCTTCTGCGTTTTCGCGTCATCCATTTTCCATCAGTCGAAACGTCTATATTAGAACAACTCGGGACAGTAATTGTTTTATCTGGGTCACCGGTTGCTGCTGTAGCAATATGGCCACCAACTTCTAACGAGTTGTCACTCACTGATCGTTTCGGGGGAGAACGTTTAACTGCGGGTTGCACAGGTAGATGTCTGGCTTGCGCCGTGATAGCACTTACGACACTAACGCAATCTTCGCCATCAGTACCAATGTTATCAGTACAGCCCTCATCAACCTTCTTATTAGCCAACACCAGGAGACTAATTGCTTCCTGGATAAGCAATGTTTTGCTCGAGCAACAAAAACTACAAAGCCAATGAGAGTTGGGCTTTGAGCACCTTTTATATGCAGTGGGGCTTAATCGGGTGCACATCTTATGGAACCACTTATTACACTCATATTGCATCCTTTCCTCCACGGGAAATAAGCAATATGGTTGTCCACTTTTATGAGCAGATCTAGCCATCTTGAAAATCAACTAGAACGGTGACAAAAATAGGATTCTCAAACCTTGACTAAATAAATCAAGTAAAAGCCGACCACGTATGCTTCTATGCAATAAATACACAAAAGCAAAATCCAAACTCAATGCAATATCACTTTAACTGGGATATATGCAATTAAAGTGTAAACAGTAGTTCTGATGCGTAATTTACGATCAAAACAGTTAATTAACTCAACGAGAAACAATAAGTAGTGATCTTCGATAATCATTATCGTCAAAACAAAGTAGGGAGTATGTTGTTGACAAAGGCTTATTTGGGTGGATTTTGTGAAGGATTTTTGATGTCAAGCATTATCGTATATTTCATGCAGAAAACCAGCTATGTAAGTCACTCGATTATCAACAATTTAGGACAACGCACTCCTGTTTCTTAATATGGGTAGTATCTTTGGCTCTCACATAAACATTTCCATTAGTCCGAAATACAAGCTTGTATTTGACAAATCAGTTTCAGTTTAAGAACAGATGTCTGAGTGTAGCGTTAGTGAGATTGTTAGTTTCAGTCCTAGCAATGGGGGTCTCAGTTTATACAACTCGTTTGAACGTGTTGACAAATAGGGTTACAGTCGCCTGTTAGGATAGGGAATTTCACGCTATAATTATTTGAGAAAGTTGTTACTTAGCTGACAAGTCGTGAACTTTTTGGAGTCTCCTGCTTGGCGGCTTAGTTGCTCTTTGTTGTGGTTCTATACTAGAAAATTGTTCGTCCGTATGAGGTTTGTGTCGTACTTGTTTTAAAGACAGCACTCACCAATGAGTTCTTTAAGTCATTTGATAAACTACCCTGGGCTAGATATAAAACACATACTTTAAGGATTTACTATTAAGTGCGCGAGTTCTTCCAGAACCCTAATGGGGATTTCGCCGGGTCCCATATATTTTCTTACATTGAATTTACTTAATGGACTAATGGCCAACTCTTTTAAGGGTCACAATATCTAGAGTATGGGTGACAGGGTTTATTCGGGCTCAAGAGAAGTGTGTCTACTGTATATACATTGCTAAAGTAGTCTGAAAATAACTGGCCTTTACCGTGGTCATCTTCCACTGGCGTTTCCATACTACCACCTATATACATTTGCGGGACGCTGCACCATGTATTTTTTCTTCGATTTGTATACGAGTATAAGCGTTATGGGTATTCTATTGAATCCTTAACGAATATTTTTCATACTGTCAGACTTACATAGGGCAAAGGCACAAACATTTATGGCTTTCTGATATTATTACCTGGTCTCATCAGTGTCTAGCAACCTAAATATCTCAAACTTTCCACCAGGAATGAAACTGACGACCTCTGGTCTTACGTGCGAGTATTTGACTTCTAGGCCGTTTAGTTAAAATCCCAATTTAATTTACTAATATTTAAAATTTCTAGTTGTAACTTCGCCTTACTGAAGCCCTGTCGATAACAATAGCTGTCTCCACTTTATTGGGATATTCATAGAAATAGCAGTTAAGTTGCATAGTTACCAGTCTTTCAGTTTACGCTCAGGTATACCAGTTAGATGTTTCTAAGGGATCGCTATACCTACCATCCCAATACTTTAATTGATGCTTTTAGTTGTCTCTGGCAGCCATAAATTTGTACAGCAATGTTTCAGTGATATTCATTTGATCAACATACTATTCTGTTTCATTTGATTCTCAGACATTTAGATTCTCAAGTATGTTGGCTGACCAAAAGTAGTTAGAGCTTTCCGTGACCTTCTCTTTAGATCGTGGCCTACACTATCTTGATGGATTGTGCCTATTAGTAGTAATACCAAAGACCGCAGCCATTGTAACAACCGTTTAGCCAGACTTCTGTCTTAAATTTCCGAGATAGGCGATAGACATCTTTTCAAACTTATTACAATATAAATTAAAATTCGGAAGTTGGTGAGACTTCCTAAAAGAGTGAAACAGTAATCCACTCTCAACCCAGCAAACTAAAAGATGTGTAAAAGATTTTGAAGAACATGTTAACTGGTTTTTAACTGCTACCAAGCAACTTCAGTGGAATGTCAACACAAGTCCTCTGAGTAGTAATCAAGTTGAGAATCTGTAATTTATCTAAAGTGGGATAAAGCAGCAGGTTCAGATGTAATAGTCTAGGAAATGATAGAGCTCTAGTCTTAGCATTTGGAGTAGTTGCGTATACCAAATATTTGCTCCTCACAGACATACCTACCGACTCCTAGTCACAGTTCTATTTCTCAACCTTAAGGCAGCATTCGGTTTTGTTGGCCGAAATATTTTATGGGAGTTCCCGACAATTAAAAGCAGCCTTGTGCAGACTTTGTATTTGAATACTACTATTTGAATTGGAGCTTATGACAAACAGTCATTAGAAGTGCTAACATTCAGTGGCGTTCGTAAAGATTTCCCATATTTCTTATTTTCATTTGACTGTCATAGACATCTTTTGGGAGATAACACTTTCCTCATTTAATCTACCAGGAATCGATTTACCAGGAGATTCTGTTTTGAACTTAAACTAAACATGATATAACTCTGTTTCCTGAAAATATCGGCAAGATCTATGGTTTTCTGGTAGCCTTGGACAAGAGTGCAAAGATGTCTGGGATGCGTTTCTCTCCATCTAAACGCACAATATCACTTCAAGATAGATTCGCACTGACACCTAAACCAATGATAGGGAGTGAAGTAGTTGAGTGAGTCGACCGGCCCACTTATTTTAGGAATCTCTTCAGTCTTGATAGGCCTTTGTTTGACGAAATCTCGGCATAAATTCAGAAAGCATAATCGGTTTTTGCTAATTTGTGTTGTCTGTGGGTTAAGTCAGTCAGTCAGCTACAACGTAGGACCAGCCACATATATGTTTGTGGGGTAAGCAAGATGTCCGCTTGCCAACTAAAGGACGGGTTTACTCTGTAACAGTTTGCTTCGTTGTACCTAATGGCTGGAACGTGTCCTTTTAAAACAGGATGTTCGTAGGTCACTTGTATTCGCTCATAGGTGTTTTGAAGCAATGCTCCTTTACGTTGGGACCATTAAGCTAGCAGTTCTGAGGTTAGATGCATAGTACTAAGTTAATATAACAAACCAAATGAGAAAGTAGTGGATCTTTATCTACTAAGATGGTTGGGATATGTATTATGTATCCCCATCCACCAACTATTTTATCTCGTACTTTTTCAACTTCTTAGTGTATGTGATTTATTTTGATACATCAAAGGTTAAACAGGCTGAAGACGTTTAGCGTTTACGATTATCACAATGAATACTTTTTAATGGCTAGAAATTAAAAATGTATCATGCAGATGCTTAATCCCTTGGTTGCCGGAATAGTGACTTAAAATTCGGTAAGGTTTAGAAATAGGATAATTTCAACCAGTGTTCTTAGGTCATATACGACAGGGTTTAGTCAGCTTAAAAACTGACAGGTTTGTAGTCTTCTATATGAAATCCCCAAATGATATTGTCCTGTCAAATATGTCAGATAATTTTCCCTCATGGCTGCTTATTTTAAACTTCCCGCAAATTTGAGTATATTCATTTAGCGTTTCTTTTTTTGTAGAGAAATTGAATTTGTTCATTATGGAAAGTAACGCTGATCTGGAAGAAGTTCAAATTAACGTCAATGGAACGAACCGTCCTCACGCTAAATCGATAGAACAGAATTTTTCTAGTTCAATACCGAATCATTCTGTTTCTTGCACAGAAGCTCCCGCTGTGTCACTTGAAACATCAAATGAATCGTCTAAGTCACCTACCATTCTGTCAAGTTCTACTGTAACTAAGAAAGAAATTCCTCCCGATTACGTTTTTGGGTCAAATATTTCGTCACGCGTTGTGAATGCTGATGTGTCAAAAGGTGCCTCGGTTAATTTATGGACATCAACATCTACAAGTCATGATTCCGCCTCGTGTGTTTTTACCACACTGGCTAAAGCAGTTACTGCTTCTCAAGCAAACTTTAAGGATTCGAAAAATCTGGAAGATTCCGCAAAGGAAGTAGCTGAGGACAAGCGGAAGGAAACATTAACGTTAGCAGAAGTCGACCTAGTTACTGGTGAAGAAGGGGAAATTCCAATCATTCGACAACACTGCCGAGCTCATATTTTCGATGCTAATAAGCAGAAGTGGAATAATATTGGGGCTGTTCATTTCCATTTAAATGATATTCCCAACGACAGTGCGCAAGGAAATACCAATGCTTTCTACAGGTCCCGGATAGTAGTGCGTTTAGTGTCTACACGCAGATTGTTGATTAATACTCTTATTTGGTCTCAAATGCCTGCCGCTATAGTTGACTCACGAACTTTGAGGATAGGTGCAATTAATGAGGAAGGACATATCAAAAATTATCTTTTTGGATTTCCACCGGATGAGTCGGCTTCCAAAATATTTGAAATGATAAGTTTTAGAAAGTCAAACGCTACTACTCTCCCGTATGAAATTTGTCATGACATAGCACCTGTTTCAAACAAAGATAAGGTGACTGGTTGTAAGCGTCAGTTAGAAATTCAAGCCAAAGCAGATGTAGATTGCTCACTCCATGTACCCCCGAAAATAGCCAATACTAATGTCCTTTCACCTACACCAAGTGTGGTTGTATTTCCAAAGACTAACATATTTAGACCATCGGTATTCACTCCAGTTTGTAAAGATTCATCCAATAATTCATCGACCCCAAATCACTCTTGTCATGTGGGAGAACTACAGTTTCGAAATTCACCGTTGGATAACGTTGTTAAACGTCTCTGTGAAAACAATCCATCTGGTAGTTCTGAATCTTCTACACTTCCATGTAATAACAAAGTAACTGAACCCCCGAAATTGTCATCGGGTGTAAATTCTCAGAATATGCCTATCAGTTCGGTTTCAAGTAATCAATGTGCCGATTTCATATTCGGCCATAACGTTTCGGAACGCGTCACAAATGCTTCTTTATCTACAGTCGTTAACCGTGATATCTCTGGCAAGGATCTTCCAGTCGAGTCTTCAGAGTCAAACGACCACAGATTATCTCCAGAAAAAGAAGAGAGTATAGATGCTTCTGAGACTGGTGAGGATTGTACTGTTCTTCCTAGTAAGCGAACATTAGAAGAATCTGCCGCTGCAGTAACTTCCGAGATGCTCGAAAAGTCGACCTATCTCTTAGCTAATCTTCCAGAATCTCCTATTCTCACTGGGGAAGAAGGAGAATACCTTACTCTGAAGGCTTACTGTCATTTTTATTGTTTTGATCGTCACAAACATGAGTGGGCCGGTCGTGGACAGGCTTACATTCACTTGAATGATGTTGCAATGAAATCTTCATCGTTACCTAGTCAAGTCTCCCCTTTTACGTCTGGGCCGCCTGCACGTTCTCGTTTAGTAATCCGCACGTGCCAAACTTTGAAACTTTTAGCCAATGTTCCTATCTGGTCCGGTCTGAACGTTGCTATGGCTGATGAACGCTCTATTCGTCTGACTACAGTCTGTCATCCGTCAGAAACTTTGAATGATTCTCAAAATAAGGTGAGCTAGTGCCTTGCTCAATTTCATCTTCTAATTACATATACTAATATCCATATCAGTTACCAGTGATTAAACCGATTTGATTAGCATTTCTTAATATGTACCTCCAATAATTCTATTCATGTACACTGTCTTTGGATAAGTTGTAATACATTCTTTCCTAATCTTGTATATCAGTGACAATACACCGAATAAATTGACCCTCAGCGTGTTGACTATTTGACTTAATCTAGTTTCTGTGCCATCTGTCATTTAACAGAAGTTATGTTTGTGATAAACATCGCTAGTCGTATATTGTCTTTTATTTCTTTTCCTAAAAAGCGACGATCATCTCCAACCACTGAGTAAAACCTGAATTCCTGGCGTTGCTCCACTGCCTTGTGGACTGAACCTGTGGGTCAAAGGCTCGAGGAGTGGCCCCCCTAAGAAAATCACCCGCTTCGGTTCGGGCGCCCGGGCAGTAGTCCAGCCTTCACACAAATCAAATAACAAAGTGTCGCGCATATATATTTAGTGCCTCATTGTATCAATGTTTATGTATTAAATAAACAGATAGAGCCCCTGATTTCAATAATAGGAAATTTTTGAAAGCAACTACATTTCAGTGATAATTTACGGACAGTTGCCATTCGAGTTGCTGGGGATCGCAATTCACTATATATCATCTTATATTAAAGCATATTCTTATTCAATTATCTGTAAATCATACTCATAATGTTTCAATTTCAAAGATAGGATTGTATAGTGGTAACAATATGGTTGTTCTGGGTTAAACTGGTACATGGTACTAAGATTGAATCCGTTGTTCGTGAAGTTTTTTTAAAGAAGTTTCAACTTATTAACTGATACATTAGTCTAGTTGAATCTCTTCACTTAAGAAAATGTATACCTTTGATTAATAGCTTCTGATTTGTCATTGATGTTTTCCTAATAAATAATATAGTTGCAACTTCATTTGAAAGGAATAAGAATTGAATATGCATATCATACAATGTGTCCCACAAAACAGGACTCAGATACTGGTATGACAGTACTAACGATACACAGTTTCCTAGATCCCGACGACTACGATTGGTTTAAACTTCGTGATTAGACTGTCAAGTGTCCAAAGGACTGTATAAATATTACTAGCAGCAACACAACCTTCATGATTAAACGATGTTTTTTCAAATTGTTGTAATGTTAAGAATACTTAATGATAATTGTCAGCAGAAAGCGTGTTCCTTAAGCTTTACTGATGACATTTTATACTATTGCTAATATAAAGTGAACTCAATCCAACCGTACATTGAAGAAATTGCATATTGGTTAAATCTTGTTTGGCAATTATGAATCGTTTAATAGAATTGTAACTGTATATTTTTATATACTAATAGTAATTTCACTTGTGTGGAGGTTGTAGGTTATTAGTTTGATTGTTAGAATCATTCACTAGGTTTGAAGGACACTTCAGACAGCCAAGTAGTTATATTCAATAGGTGTAGCTTATATTGTATTACTACATGAACTTACACTGTATAACAATCATAATATCTTTGTTTATCTTATCGATCAGCTTCTATAAACAGGACATAATTACAATGTGGATATGTCCTAGACCGTTGGACCACTATCATAACTGTAAGTTGTAAGGAACCGCTATTATGGAAAACATTTTTTTGTGTGTAATCGTACTAACGTACTACATCTATTCACGTGGTTGACCATATTTACTTTTCCTTTTGTCTGCATAGCCTTCATGTTCTATAGATTCAGTTGTTACAAAACCAGAATTTTGTGCTTATCTACTTGTTATGCATTCACATAAAGAAGCTGACCGTCTTTTTCAAGCTCTTAATTCGCGTATAAACACTTTTACTAGTCGTTTAAACGCTAAACCTACATATCTTCACGAAACAAATAGTGCATCCAACAGTCCTGGTGATTTTTCTTCTATTCATTCCCGTACACATGGTCATCTTGAGGAAGGTGATGACTCTCCTAGTATTAGTAAAGTTGATGAGGAAAACCTACGACCATGTAAGTTTTTCCGTGTATGATTTTTGAGGATTGAATTTGTAAACAGTGGTTCACAAGTACATATATGTTGAGAAATCTTTGTTATCAGTTAAAGGGTGTGTGCACCTTATACTTCATGAAACTAGCTATGTTAGACATTTTTCTTTCCTCCGTTAGTTCTGGACTATCGCTTGATAAAAATTGTTAACAATTGTGTGCAAGAACATAGATCTATACTTCACTAAATGACGATTATATGTCGTCTACGTTCGCCTCTCGTCAAAGTTAACTATTTTCAACACAGATGTCCACACAATCATGGATAATCAACCATTACACGCCTACTATAAGAGTGAACAGTCGAACAATCTTATTGGTATCCATACATTTGACAGGTGTCCAAGTTACATCCGTACCTGGAGTTATCCAGTAACCTATATGTAACAGCCAACGCATAATTCCTTATTACATTTAGTTTTTGTTTGGCTCCTATTACTTTGTGATGATATTACTTTTTCAAATGAGTAGAATCCCTTCAATTCGAATGACCAAGAAAATAGATTCCTTTTCTCCACAGGTTATGGCATAAGCAAATGATCATAATTACTATAGCCATTATGGGATAAGTGACTGTGTTTTGCAAATTATTGACATGAATCCTTTAATAACAACTACTCGTTGACAAAAATGTAGTTATTGTAACTCACTATCTTAGCGTTTAGAACGATGAGTAGTGAATTTGAATCCCAGTGGGAATACCTATCCGCATTGAACGTAACACGCCATAAATGACAACATTTAGGTATATACTCAATATTCCAATATTAGCTAAACAGTTCAGTTCAATAAATCGCCAATAAAAATACCAGAAATTCAACAGTCATTATCATCTATCACTATTTACTCTCACCTATTATAGACATGAAATTAGAAATTGACGAACCTCCGACAGATGCGAACTCTCAATCTATGGGTTTCACACCACCTGACAATTTGAATTGATCTGTCAAGAGAAAATTACAAGATTTTTGATCACATCCTAATGTATCTTAATAACCTTTCTTCAAGTAATCCCGTTGTGAAAAAGTGCTATAATCTATAAAATATTACATATATCGTTCATATGTATACGTACATTTATGAAGTTTCCTCCTATTATATACACATACATGTCTATTTATTATGTTGATACCATACAATCTTGAATATCAAGGTTTTGTTTGTTATTTCAACTTATTCGTCTAATACACTCGTTAACTCTGTGTTTTAATATTAGAAACTAGTAAACAAATAACCAATCAAGTATTTATTTCTGTTCGTTTTTACATTTTCTGAATTAATTTATTCACTCACTATATTGTTGAATGTTTCAAAGATCTTTTTTAAAAATAATTGTAGCTACAACATGAACACAGATATATTTGTAAGAAAAAAGGGTAAAAACACAGCAATTTAGCATTTTTCTTGTTTTGTTTTACTTTATGCCTATTTGCTTATTATTCCACAATAGAGAGTTGAAATATTCATTGGTAGAGAATATTGAATACTTGATTGTTCATGCTTTAGACTGATTACCTGAATCCATTCAACTTCTAGTTTTGTTACTCGTATTATGTCATAATAGCTCCATTTCTCATATCATACTTTGTTTCCAAGCCGATTTTATATTTTTCTCATGAAACAAAATTTACGAACTTCTGTTTGTATTTTGTGCAATTGTAATCGATCAGATGTTCGAAGAAGTAGCAGTAGCTTAGAGTACTAGTAGTTTTTCTTTAGCTAAATGTTAGGAAATAACCCATTTGCTTATAATTATATATACTCGGATACTCTTCCATATCGCTAAATACCAGCGTTTTTGATAGACAAATAAAATATTTAGCTCTTACTATACAACATTTATTCATTAGAATAGTAGTAAATAATTAGGGTTTCCTTTACTTCCTAACAACACTGAACTTAGTCAATAAACAAAGTTCTCTCCAAAGCACCGTCTTTAATATTTTAAACTAACTGGTTACTACCACTGAGGTTGATAAGTTTGGAGTGATCAAGCATATGGGTTTAGGAAATAAAACAGTTTTCTCATGAATTTATGTGTATAATATGTAGTTTCTGACGTGCAATGACTTGGTTGTTAAGGTAATTGACTTTCTATCTTTATCTAACAGATGCCGAACCAGACTTATCCATTTCTGTTTCAGCATCTGATTAGTATCACGAGTTCTTCCATATATGAGGCATGGCTCAAATCCGGGTACATGAAACTGTCCTTGGTATGTCCTGATAAAACTAGGATCTAGACTGGATGAATCGTATGAAGTCGGGCGTTAGATAATTGACCTACAGGTGATAAATAGGTAATCTATGTGTGATGTTAATTGACTATCTAGATTACAGTATATTACTTTATCACGATAATTCGTCCATCAATTGAACGATTTATTATTTTATATTCGTTGTGCTCAAATTGCCCATATGTTAGTTGAATTGATATGTTTTTTACGACCTCTACCGCATCACGATTAGTTATCTGATTGAAAAAAGTTCGTACAAGCTTACCGATCATTAGTGACAGTTTGTCAAACAACCGCGATAACGAATTTCATGTATTCACAAGCTCCAAATCGAAAAGAAGTCATTTCCGTAATTCTAAGAAATTTATAGCTGGGTAGTACAAAAATTGTCGAAATAAATTGAATATACTTGGTTCAAACTTCAAGACACTTCAGGAATTCCCCATATTTTCTACATGATGCTTGATATCTCAGGAATAAAATGGTTCCTTCTAGAAATTTGATGTACAACTTCGCAGCTGACATTTTAAGGAATCTATCTCATTTCTAATCACCCGAGTCAATAAAAGTCTTGAAAATATTTTAAAACCAATGTCCTGTGTTACACTATGCGTTAAAGCATATATCATACCAATCGTTTGGATACTTATTAACAGTGGATTGCATGCTGTTGGTTTAAAAGGCTCCTTCAGTGGGATCCGACAGATAATGTGCTAACTGGGGACTTAAATACATAGGTCAGTTGTCTAAGCACAGAGTCGTTTGGGTAACAAATAGAGGTTCGTTATCCGCAAGCTGAATCATGGGTAAGGCCTGGGATTTCGTGCAGATTACTACCCTTTTCTGATCAGCACCAACTTCCGACATAATCATTACTTGTCTCCTACATATCATCCTCCCTCTGCTATACAAGCCTGCACTAAAATTGATTACATTCCTATTTGCTGTTAGTGGCTTGGTTGTATTCAGGACTGGCGTTTCTTTTCGAGTATCTATCAGGATTCTGATGATGCTTTGGTATCGGCCAAATTTATTTTATATTTTGGTGGCAAAGAAATTTACTTTTCTAAAAGAACTGACAAAAGTAAACTGACTACACCATCCGCTACATTCAAATATAAGTCCGAGCAAGGTTGATAGCCAACTGGAAAGTGCAGATGAACGCTGAATTTATGTCTCCATAAAAGTGAGGATTAAGACCACCCACAACTTCACTAAGCGTCCCACTTATGCCAGCTGGATCTCTGATGGCTCCCTCAACTCCATGAGCTTTGGTGGTTTACTTCAGCAAATCGTGAGTTTGTTTCTATAAATAACTCATAGGACTCCCCAAAACTTTCGTAATGACTGTGAAACCTGTTAGTCGAAGGATTCTATCTAGTTGGAAGCAGCATTTACGCCTCTCCTGCTGCTGGGAGTTACTTCAATTTATTCAAGACATTAGTATCAAGAACCTTAGCGTCATTGAAACATAACGCTGGTTCGTAACCTCGAACTCGCACAGTGCATTTTTATAGTCCTGCGGATTTTTTTGAAATAAAATTTTCTGAGCTGGATGGTTTACTCGTTAGGTTTTCATTGTCTTTCCCAGACATTTCAGAGAGAAGTGAGCCATGAGAATTTTTCCATAAATGGCTAGCAATTTGTTCCATCAATCTTAAAGTTAAGTAAATGGTTGTTGACGTTTGTTCTGTCATTGTTCGGACATCTATTTTGATTGTCCTCCTCTTCGCCCTTATGCTTTTTTAATGATTTTTCAAATTGGTTGGTAAATTGAGTTTATTTCACCAAGCTTATTGATTACTGACTGATCTAGGTGCTGAGCTTCTGTAGATCATTCGGTTTTCTCTGTCCAATATTTTGAAGTTTTTCCAGTAGAATATATGTCCACAGTTACCAATGTATATTGATATTGGCGCTTTAACGTCTGTAATGTTTTTACGGATAGTATCCGTCTTACATTCTTTAGTTATTCTGTTTCTTTGCACTAAATCAGTTGAAGAGATGTTACTGCTTATGATTGACACTTATTACTACTGACCTCAATAATCAGGTCGAACATTCTGATATCCTTCAGTGTATTTTCACTCTTTTGTATAAAGTTTTCGTACAATTGATTTTGTGAGTTGTTGCTATTCTAGTTAACAATTTCTGTGTCGTTTGGTTTTCAGTACGCTTTAGTCCCTAGTTTCGTAGTATTGATTCTAGTGTTCAGCACATTCAAGTATAATAGTTTGTTACTTAATTCTTTTTTCAATATGAACTTTGTGTTATCGAAGGCGTTGTCGATAAAATTGTCGACATTCTTCCACTATCTCACAATCACATAGGCGTAACACGGAGTGAAAGTGAGTAAATATTCTAACTTCTGAAATGTTCAGTATGCAGGTAACCTTTTGTCAGACAAATAGCCGAATTGTTCGCAGATTTGATATGTAGGGATTGCTTAATTATCTGGGAGTCATGTGACTGTCGTTCGCAATTTTTAGACGAGGCGAAATCAGTTATGCGAAAATTGTATGGGTTGATCTGCTACATATTGCCTTTAAACTATTGAATATCTAACACTCCATGAGTTCAAAACTTGTGACAAACAAATTCACTAAAAAAGACGGGTTCTATTCCATTTTATCGATTCACTAATCTTATCCTCATTCTCCAACAAATCCTAGGACATTACCATGCATACTAGATGCTAACAACCGTCGTGTTCTCTGATTTTAGCACCCTATCCTATTGGTTGGGAACGATTGTGCCCTTAGACTCCCTATCGAAAAAGAGTTGGTTTAGTAAGTTTGTTAATATCTTGAAGGCTGTTAGCGGGACCGTGTTCTAATTTTGGGACTTGCCGAGTGAATTGGTGTCCAAGAGTACTAAGCAATAGGAACAGCTGGATTGCAATAAGAGAAATATAACAAAGGCTGTTGGGGATTATTGCTGTAATCACAGGATGCAGCTTTCACCCTCAAAATACAAGTATGTTTGCAGAAACATGTCCCAACTTTCGTTCTTTGTAATAAGCCTTTGGAAATAGTCAAAAATTGTCACTAGGTAGTTGTATGAGTACTGGTAATAGCTTATTAGATATGATCGATCTAAGTATGATAAAAGCCAGAGTAGTTGATGGCAGTCTCGGCCATCGGGATGTTATCCTGACTATTAAATGCTATGTCTACCAAGGATCTCTAAGAAGTTTTCAGTTCTGCACTTTTAAAACCTAAACTTTCCAAGCTGTGGATGCTCGAGGACTGTGTTCGGTCGTCGTTGTCTCCGACGTATTGGTCACATCCTACCGTAACCTGATGTTGGCAGTACTAATGGACAGGTGCGTCTTGGTGCTCAGCGAATAATTCAACCAATATGATCATCTTGCAGCACCAACTACAGTGGCTTGTTCATGCTTTACAAGTGTCATCTTATCTTTTCACGACATCAATTCTTTTGTGCGTATTTCAACTTACTCTTTTTGCCAGAATTTATATTCTGTGAATAAGCATGCAAAGGAGATAAAATAGCTCACTGTGTCGTTTTTACAATACAGTTAGATACTCCTAGACGTTAGAGCATGTGTTTTACTGAGGATTTTGAGAGATGTAACTGTACATGTGAAACTTATCCCAACTGGCAATAGTTTGGAGGTAATCATGGTTCTAAATTTATCCATTACACTATTTTATAATTAATTTCAAAACGGTTGTGAGCTAGAGTATGTTTGAGTGAGATAATTTTTCGGAACACGTTTATAAATTAATCTACTATTTGATCACTTTTTCCTCGAGTTTGTGTATACTCATTAGTATCCTATTCACTATCTACTTTGTGACCATCAACCATTTACAATCGATTTTCTAACCACTCTAACTTTCGTTGATGAAAAACGAGTAGTCACAAGATCTCAGATCAACCTCACTATTTAACCTATTCAAAGTGGGCGATAAACAAAAACATCTTGTATCTGATATAATTTAATTCTTAGTTCAAAAATTTATGCTAGATTTACGATCTTTTATTACTTAATTTAGGCTCCATAACAATTACGAACGCATTAAGGTCGGTATTTATAAACATAGTGACTTATGTAAACAAATGATTATGATATGTAATTAGGATAACCTTATTTTCTAACATTTATATTCATCCAGATAACTAAAGTGGTTTAGAATAGG